TAGGGAAATAAGTTTCATCTCTCTTCTTTTCATATTCATTTGGTTTTGCATAACCAGTGTGATATTTTTTTTCTTTTCCCCCAGAATTTGTTTTTCTTTTGCAGTTTTATTTGTCTGCAACTCAGTCTATATTCCACAACTTTGAAATGCTATAAGTTGAGTTACTTATGCTGTTTCCTTAGGAGCTGCAACAGTAAACCATAATATGATAGAGAAACTTGGTTTGTTTATACAGCAGAGATATTGCACATTCCTGGGTTGTGATTGACCAGTTTCCTAGCTAATGACTAGGTCTGCCTTGACTCTGTGTTTGTATAATATGTATTTTTGTTTGTGAGGATTTCTTACGAAAAACCTTTTGTACAATACTTTCCAGTTCTGATACTATCATGTTTGACTATTAATTCTGAACATTTTAAAAAAGATACATTTAAATTCAGACAGTTCAGTGGTTTAGAGAACGACCCTGTAATATTCTTTGCTTTTGCTCTGTAAAATGCTTTGCTTTTTACCATTGCAAAGTAACAGATAAAGGATACTGGAGTGTGCTTGCATGGGGAACACTGCATGATGAGAAATAGAATTTCATCATCTGTCACAGCAGCACCAAACACAATTTGAATACATATTTTTAATGTGTACAGAAATAAAAGGCAAATACTTTCAATCTCTGAATTTAGTACATTGTTGCTTGAACAAATTAATTTGTGTTTGGTAGAGGTAGTCAATTGCTAGAAGGAAGAAACAAACCCCAAAAGCGTATTCTTTGCATAAGGTTTTCAGAGGCATTATTTTGATTATAGATTGTTATTAACTTAAAATGTTGTATCATGAAGGTAGTAATCAAGACATTCTTTGTAGTAGAGGGAGCAATATGCTATGGTTTCTCAAAGTTATTGGTTTCTATTTCAAATCATTTACTTGCTTAATTTGTTTTGATTCTAAAAATCAGCCATCAAAAGAGTTCTGGATACCGATATTGAAAAATCTCAGTGAGGATAAAGTATGAAAAGGACTTGATAATCATAGACTTAAAAAAGCATTCCTAAATCAGTAGCATTCACTCTAGAGCACAATGTGGAATTTCCTTTCCACTGCCCAAATTATCCATGTTCAGAAAACTTGGTGGTGGATATTGATAATTCTATCTATATTTATCATTGTCCTTCTGTCTAAAAAGTGAGAATTTAAAGGCCAGCAAAGTCAACTAACACTTGTTATTACTGCCTTTACTAACTGGCTGCCCTATTGCCAAAGAAGCATTTATATGTTTACAGTTCAGTGCTTAAGCTATTTCTCTCTCTCTCTCTCTCTCTCTCTCTCTCTCTTTGTCTCTCTCTCTCCTCTTTCCCCCCCACTCTCTGTCTCTCTCTCTGTCTCCCTCCCCTTCTTTCTCTCTTTTTCTCTCTTTCTCACCTGGCCTCTTGCATGCTAGGAGTTACAGTTCTTAGTGTCTGCTTAAAATAAGAGACCTCGTCTAGCTAAACCTCCTTGAAATCATTTATAACATAACTTTGCAACCTGTTGTATGTATTGTTCTCTTTTCTTCCACCTTGGCTGCAAATTCTCTCAGGTCTCCACTGGTTCATCCGCCAAGCCATGGATGCCGCTCGACTCACAACAGCCCAATTCACACTGCTACTGGCTCACGACTTACTCAGAACTTCTCTGTGTCTGTTCCCACTCTCATCTACACTGGTACGAGACTGCTCAGACTCAAGAGCTGGGGAGAGGCAGGCCACAGGCACAGTGGTCTCAAAGTGCAGGCAGGCAGGCAGTGTAGGCAGGTACCACCCATCTTTTCTCCTTCATTTTCTCATGGAGTCTCCTTCTTTTGTCATTGAAGAACTGCTGTGTTCAGCTGCTGCAACAAAGACAATAGTTTCTTGAAAATGAGTGTATCCTCAGAGTCTCTTCCACAAAGCCACCCTCTTCTTTCTTCAAGTGTACTTCCTTAAAAAAAAAAGTAAATCTGGTTAACATTTGTGATTTTTACAGCCACTCATATTTTGATTGGAGTTCATAATTGTTTTTAATCTTAATTCAGGTATAGTACTTAAGTTTTAAAATGTTTATAGGAAGAGTTTGTGCTACTTGTGGAAGAGAGAGTTCTGGAGAGCAGGTAAGTTGTTCTGTGCATAACTAAACTTTTTGTCAATAGAGCTGTTCCCAAAAAGGGTTTCCTCTCTGCTGTTTTTAGCTGTGGCATGTTGCTGATGCTATAGGATAAGGAAACTTTTAATATATACGTGTGTATATACATAAATGTGCAAATATGTATAAACACAAATATAATTTGAGATCATTATTTTCTTTATTAAACTAACTCAAAACATTGTGCATTTGATCAGATTTTTAAGCCATAAAGTGTCTTTATTTTTTTCTTTGGCATATATAATTTTTTGGTCACATCTCATGCCTTCCATTTGGCTTAATTGTTTCGTTGTAGATTTTCAGCATTTAGCTATAGAATGCTGAGTGGGTAAACAGCATTTCTTTGCCTTTGGCCTCATTCCCAGTCTCGCACTTTAGGAATAGCTGCTGGCCCTGCCCCAATCCCATCCTGGTGTTTGGATCATGGTGCTGTCAGCCAGGTCCTTTGGCACAGGATTACTGAATATGTTTCCACCTTCTTCTGGCAGGATTCCCTTCAATGAAGATCCCAATCCCAATACTCATTCATCAGGACCCTCCACCCCTCTGAAAAACCAAACCTATTCTTTTTCACCTTCCAAGTCCTACAGTCGACAGTCCTCTTCTTCTGACACAGATTTGAGTTTGACACCCAAAACTGGTAAGGCGCTTCCAGCCACTTTTTCATTAATTTGTGTTTCTCTATATTTTTATTTGACCCCGTTTCGCTTTTTGGCATTTGAGTTATCAAAGTGATGTGGAAATTGAAGACTTCAGATAGCACAGCTATATTTTTAAAGGCTTTCTGTAAGGTGATAATTTATGACCTGTCTATATGTCCGCTAGTGTTAGGGTATCATTAAATTTGTAACACAAGTGAAGTGTCTGCTGAAATATGGCATCTTGGAGCATTAAGGGAATCCTGAGCATTTTTCTCTTTCTTATTTCCTCCACTTCATACTACAAATTGCAGGAATTTATTTCCCACCATAATACATTAAGAGGGGAAGGGATCTTGTTAGTATTATATAACTTCCAAGCCTAATTTATTATACTAAAAATGTATCTTTATTTACATAACTCTGGTTATTTTTTTAACTCCTTTTTGCAAATGTGATATTAAAAATGTATCATCTGCTGTCTAATTTCCTTGGTATATGAAATGGCTTATAATACACACTATCCATTTTGAAATAAATTATTGTCAGAACATCTTCTGAAATATTTTTCTTTATCCACTGGATTATAATCTTTTGAACTTCTTTTGTTTCCTTTCCCCTCTCTCAGATTTTTTTTCGTTGTTTTTTAATCTGTGGTTTGAATCATGTCAGTGATAATGTCAGCACAACTCAGAGTTGTATTCTGCTAGTTTCCTGTTATGTACTCAGTGCCTTGAGTTTTTTCCCTCAAAGGCAAAATATGTTGCAATATTGTTTATACAAGTTGCCTTACTTCTTAAATAGTGTCATAAATTGTGGTATATGAAGCTCAGAACATTCTTGTCTCCATCTATTCATGACAATTTTTAAAGAATATTAAATTTGATCCTGATAACTTTACCTGCTAGCACCTTTTTTCAAGAACATTTCCAAGCAGAGAAGTTAAATGTTCCATTTGCATGCAGTTACACTTTTACCCAGGTTATTCTTCAACATTATGGTGAAAAATATTTTGAGTTAGGAAGCTGTCTTTCTCAGGAGAGTCTTCTCTGTCCTCTTTGGAAAACAACCAACCAACCAAAAAGAAACATAGATGACAGTTTTGGTGAATAACCTATGATGGTCAGGAATTTTAAGGATATAAAATTAAAACCAAATACCATGAATTCATATGTTGGTTTTACTGAGTATTTGAAAATGTGTTTCTTTTATTTGACCAGATTTTCATGGTGAAGAGCCTGTGCTGTAAAGTATTTAAATGCAATGTGAATGATCATCTCAAAATTTAAAGGTCCTAAAATCCTGTCTTGAAGACTGTTTCAAAGTTGGAATGTCTCCATGTGAAAGTTGTTTATGTTAAAGTGTATCAAGCTTCTGACGTGATGCACAAAACTTTACCAAATTTGAGATACCAACTACTCAGATTGGGTGATGTGAAAAGTCTAGTATTTCTTGTTTTTTATCATTATTATTTTTGTTTTATTCTTCCAGTATGTGATAATGTAATATTCTTCTCCATTTCTTAACAGATAGCTATTATATCGGCATTCTTATAAAATGGAGACTAAGCTGTAAACGGAGCACAGATACCACAATTTCATAGTATGAATAACTGAATAGAAAAGGCCAGAGTTTGGATCTGCTCAAGGACTTTGTCTGGAGTGGTTCCTAATCAGGAGAATATTACCTTAATTTCATTTATCAAATTGAGTTTTGATTCCATTCTCCATTCTGGGTTACATCTAGTCTAAATTTATGGGAAAATATTTCTGTGCCGAGAAACCTTCCTTCAGTTTGAAGTTAGATTTCTGCTGTGAATATTAATACCTTTTATGGCACTGCAAGCTGACAGAAATATCAGACTAACAAAAAAAAAACATATTTTAATAAGGTCTTAAAGATAATACATTTTCGATGTAAAGTAGTATATGTGTGGAGGAAATTGAGATAGGAACTCATTTTTTCTAATATGCGAGTTCATAGTTCTACAAGATTCATAACTCTAAAAATCATAACTTAAGTCCATAGCTCTTTTTCCAGAGAAGACAACTTTTTGGATTCAATTAATAAAAGCAATCAGATAACCTATGTGAGAAAAATATGTTACTTAGCCCTTATTCCATATTATTTATTTTTAATTTTGTATGAAATCTAAAATACGTGTTAGCTTACCATGGCTTTTTAATAAGATTAATAAAATTTAAAACAGCTGCTTCATGATTTTTGATAACATGCTTCTCATCCACATTGTGGAGCTGTATTGTCATTCCATTTCTTTGTATGCTGAGAAATAATCTAGCAATAATTGTTAGTTCATTTGGAGATTTTTTTTTTTATTTGCTTCGTTTTGATTTCTCCCTTCTGTTTCTTTAGTCATCTTCTGAATCTACATCTTTTTGTCTCTATTACTTTCCTCCACAGCACCTTTCCCACAGGGACCTAGGATTTTCCTGTTTCCCAGCTCCCCTACACTCTCTTGGGGTTCCCCACATCTTAAAAAGTCCAGTCTCCTCCTCTCGGGGTCTAGCCTTAACCCTCTACACTCTAGCCATGTCAGCCCAGTTGTTCTGAGGAAAAGTGTTTCTTTCACTGAAGAGCTGCTTCTGGCTGCTTCTGGTAGGATGAATGTATTATGGCCTTTTAAACAGACGTTTAAGAAAATGTTGTTGTTGTTTGATAAGGGGGCATTTAACACCCAGCCTTCTATAACCTTTTTTTTTTTTTTTTTTTTTTTCTCTTGTAAATTAACCTCCGAAAACTGCTGGCTACATGACTATTCATACCACTTCTCAACCTGTGCTCCAGAGGCTTGTGGCAGCTTCTGAACTTATCTTACAGGATGTGAAACAAATACGTAGTTTATCCCACCTAATTTTCTCGCCTCCATCTCAAAATTTCTTTTCATATTGATAATTGGACTAAAATAAGTCACTTTTTTTTTCTCCATTCACTTCTGTTTGTTGTTCCTACATTTGCATGGAGCAAGCACTTGCTCATTAATTCATATTTTTTGAAAACTGGCCATCAGATGGCTAGCAGTTCTGCCCTTCAAATTAATGTTTTTCAAAATGAGTCCATACAAACTTTGTACTGCCTCCTCTTCCATTTCACTGACATGCATTATTTTTTTAGGCTTAAATTAAACAGCTGATACTACTGCTTTTCTTTATCTGTAGAAACTGTTTTGTTTTAACTTTGTTTCATATCCAGTATTTATGCCTTGCTTGTCTGTAATATTGTATAGTCCCTAAAAATGATATTTAGAATCAATATGAAATAATGGCAACAAACTTAATCCTATTTAACGGGACTATACAGGTGCTAATTTTTTGTTTCCTTATCCAAAAACAGCTAAAAATATTTAATAACAATTACAATATTTATATATATTTATGGTCATTTTTTTAAATGTTAGGGATAAAATAACATAAAGTCCAATATTACTTCCAATTCTCCCTGTGTTTGGTTAAAAGCAAACAAATGCGCTCCTGTTTACATATAAAATCTCACTCTTGTTTATTACATGCTTGATCAGAAGAGAAAGGAAACTAGCAAGGAACTATCATATTGTTATAGTTACAATTTTTATAAAAATCTTGTTTTCATATATAACTGTTTGCATTGTGGTTTGTCTCTATTACATCTTGCTCTTAACACACCCTGGTTCTTTGTGCTTTGCTTTACTTGGTGCTTTCTTAGATAACTTGTGTTTGTTTTTGCTTTGTCAAATTAGCACTGGTGGTTTTAGATACAAGAAATACCAATGATAGCGTGTTTTTAGGCATGAGATTCTTTCTAGATAATCGTTCACTGACATTGTGTTATCTTAGGAAAAACACAATCTTGGTATTTTTTATTTTAGTTTATTTTTGTGACTTGTAACCATAGGGAAACACTGTATTGCCATACATATATCCTGCATCTTGCCACACTCCCTTAAAAATATAGTTCCTTGATAACAGATCAATAACAGATCTATAACAAATATAACTGTGTTTCTGATAGACTTTCCAGGTCTTCCAAGAAGCTTCCTTACTTGGGGGAAGAATGAAAGGTGTGAAAGAAAGGGAGAAGAAAGAAAGATGGTGGAAGTAGCGGGTAGGACTTAGTGGGTAGGGTAGAAAGATCAGAGATAGCATAAAAATCGTCCCATATTACCTATGTTATTCTATATCAGAGTTCATATCTTGTTTTAATTTACAGATACTCTGCAGGTTATATGTGTGAAAATACAGTAATGTCATAAATGTGGCAGTTTTATATGCTTAGCAGTAGTCCTTAGCTGATCTGGGTGAAACAAGTGAGTGAATGTGTAAATGCACAGATATTGAAGAAAAAAAAAAAAGTTTGCATTTCAAATCAAAAGATGTACGTTACTTCTTAAATTTTCTGGTTAGTCCCAATCATGCAGTATAAAGCTTCTACTGAAATTGTGTCCAGCCTTCTCCCAGAGAGAACAGTGTGGAATCTAATGGTGATCTGCAGCACTTTCTCATAAAGGCTGAAACTGATTGTGTAAGAACTTCCTGTGAGAAATAGAGAAGGTGGATGTTTATTTTTTGATATCGTAGATTAAAAAAAAAAAATCTAATAGTGGCAGAAAAAAATCCATAAGCTATTTGTTATAAGTAAATAAGAATTGCAAGTCCTCGTTTGCAATGCTTTGTATTGAAGTTTTTCATATTGGCAGCACAAATAGATCTTGTTTCAGGATTTTTTTTTCCAAATCCACAAAGTTTAACAGCACTGCTAGTCATATTTAGGAGGGGGAAAAAAAAAAAGCACAAAACATCAACTGTGATGCTCAGTGTTTTCCTTCCAAAACCTTGTTGGAATGTTTGACTGTGTTTTAAATCATGAATTTGTATATCTTTAAATCCAATTTTGATACAGATTATAACATATGTTTCTTTGGATGTTATTTGTACTGATACTCTTCAGGAATGGGCAGTGGGAGTGCTGGAAAAGAAGGGGGGCCATTTAAAACTCTTTTAAGACAACAGACTCAGTCAGCTCTGGAACAAAGGGTAAGGCATACATGAAGTATTTTACTTATTTCTGGTATACTAAAGTGGCAACTTAGCTTTGAATAGGTAAATGTTTCTTGTTAGTTTGTTTGAAAAACAGGCATAACTTTCATGCCTTTTCTATCTTCATATGTTGAACGTTTAATAGCCTTTATATATAAGAATGATACTGAAGTTTAATACATTACCAAAGTATTAAGAAAAGAGTGGAGCATAAAATTGCAATGTTCACAGCACTCCAATGATTTTAGCTGGTGGGTGAGAAACAATTGCTGCTTCTGTTTTTTAGTCTTTGTAAGCTACTGATGCATATGTCAGTCTATTATTTTCACATTTTGTATTTAATTAAATTTGATAGAACTCAAACTGAAAAAGAAATTGCAATAGCTTTCAACAAGGTGATAATTACATTTATAATTGAGAAAAACCTTTAATTTTGGGGGGAAAACAAACAAACAAACAAACCAAAAAAAGGTAGCATAATGCAGCCTGGATTCTATTACATGAAATTGTGTGCATGTAGTTTATATGTGACTCTTTAATTAAAAAAAAAAAAGATTCTGAAACAATAAAAGGGATTTGAAAGGTTAAAGATTTTAGAAGAACCTCTGCAAGACAATGTATTTTTATGTTGTCAGTCTACAGTGGATAGAATGCACAGCAAAAACAGGGCTATTCATTTCAGAATCTTTTTTTAAAAACATAATATGCTGCTGTTGTCAAAATGTTGTGTTATTAGTGAAGCTCCTTGAAGTCTTGCCCTTTGAAGATTAATTTTAATTTAATTAGTATTTCTGTCTGTCTGAATTGCTTAGTAGTACCACGTGTATTTTTGAAAACAAAATTGGCTACATATGTGCAGTGTAAGTGAAGCGCTACTATTTTGAGTAAGTGGATGATTCTCTTTTTATTTTTTGTGTTATCCATTTCTAAGGGAGGATCGCCTCATAGGTTCTGTAGAAGGCGGGTATGTTCCAAAACATTGTGACTTCTTTGTAGCCCTTTTTATCTTGTATTGAGGGTTTCTAATATTTGAACGTTCATTTTAAATATTCTTTTTTAAAAAAATATTTGAAGAGATTTCTTTGCAATCTTGATCATGCAAGATTTTTATATTTTTGTTCTTTTTTTGAGACCATTTATCAAATTAGCATATTTTGTCATAACTAGTATTTTGCATGTTCATACATCTCAATTAACATTTTAATTTCTTTTTAAATAGAAGTCCATGGCCTTTTGCTATTAATGTTTTAATTTGAAAATAAACCAATACCTTAAAAAGATTCTTTCCTCTGTCTACCCTTGTCTCTGCTAGCATTTTAGACATTTCATGTCAAACTGTTTTTTTTCTTTAGAATGCTTTCTAAAAACATTTTAAAATTGTAAGGTAGAACACAGGGTATTTTTAGAGCTTCAGTGATTTGCGTCTTGCTCTGCTAAGATACTGCCTAGTGAAGAAAATGTGGTAAAATGGGGTGGAAACGTGTTGGATCTATTATTAATGATAAGATAATGATGCTATTACCAAGCACGTGGTCTGTAATCGCTACTGAGAATATTATCCTAATACTTGTATGGGAATCTCATATTGTGCTGCTTTTGCTGCAGTTACTTCCCTTTCAGTTGCTTAACTGGAATGCATAGCAAGGATTTGGGGGTGGTGATATTTAGCTCAAAATGTCTTTGGAGCTCATAAGATAACTTGTTTGTTATAATATTATTCACGTAAGTAGTGCACTTCTAAGTATCTGTATTGGGGTAGCATTTGTTTAGAAGAACAAAAAAAGGAATAAATTTGAGATGTACATTATATTTTTCTGTATATTAGCAATACAGTAAGTTCTTTTGGCACAAATTCAGATTATTTGAGATTATTGTCCTGTTAATACATTACAAATGATTCCTTTAACTGGACATCCTATTATCTTTTTAGTAGTGTGGGGTTTTGGTATATCACTTAAATTATAAACTGTAGTAGATTTTGTTGTAAGGGTAATGTTGCTTTTTTTTCTTTTCCTGGAAAAATACAGTAGCCTTGAAAAAGGCATATGCTCATTATATTTACATTAGTATGATATAGCAGTTCAATATGCATGTTGGTAGTAGTTGCAACTCCAGCACAGCTATCTTAGACTATATCTTTAGTTATATATATATAATATCCCTGTGATTGGGCAATTTTGAGTTTATTTTAATGGTGAAAAATTAGGCTTGTGTCTTTGTACAGATGCCCAAATGTTGCTCTTAATTGTATTTTATATCTCTGACCTCAGCTTGGACAAATGCTATTATTTTTCCATGTTTGCATCCTGCAAGTGCTCGAGAGAGTCTTTACGGCTTCCTTTTCAAAGTGCACGTGCACTGATCTGCATCTGCGGAGAGAACTGCTAGGGGGGAGCTGCTGTGTCACGAAGCAGCTGCGTGTGTGAAGCCTTTGCCTGAAAGGCTGGCCTAAGCAGCTCTTCTTTCCAGTTCTGTTGGAAAATCGTTTATAAATTTGTTTGGTCACCCCACGAGATGGTTTGGTAAATGTGTTATGGAAAAAAAAAATCATCCAGAAAATTAACAGTATGTTAATATGGATCAGTTGCTTGTCTGATTCAGCCCATGAAGCTTCTGTCAACATATCTGAGCATTATAAGCATTATCTGCGGGATTGGGACTGGGGTGGGAATGAATAACTGGGTAGACAGGAGACTAAGAACTGCTTAAGCCAGCACTAATAACCCAAAGGAATGTGTGTATAGTCTTGCTCTGTGTGCTCTTGCGTTTCTGTGTGTTTGTATAAAATGCAATTAAAAAAGCAATGCTAGCAATACATGGATGTGCAAACACAAACATTTTAGTGTTGTATTAAACAAGTGTAATGACCTTACTGCAAACCTTTCCAAACTTACGCAACTGGCAGTTGTAACTACCTACGATGATACAAGAATTAAAGCAGTGAACATAGTTCTTCTAGAATCTGTGCAGTCAGTGACTCTGCAACGACATAATGAATTGCTACTGCTAAAAATGATTGACTCTTTTCAGTGGCATGCTTTTAAAATTCAGCTTGTCATGTCTTTTGAAAAATGGGGCATCATTTTATGCTTCCTTTATCATGTTTTAAAGATAGTCCATTGGAAAGTCCAGAAATAGAGCAAAACTGTAGCATAGCAATACTGCTTCTGGTTCTTGCACATTCTATTTTTCATGCAATAAGCATAGCTTTAAAATTTTGAAGTGTTACAGAGTACCACGCATAATTGAGGATGGAACCTGTATTTGCAAATAATAATATATTTTAAAAAAATCTAAATGACATAAAAAAGGAGGGAGAGAAGCCTCACTGTGGTTTCCGGTTTGAAGTGTTACAGAGTACCACGCATAACTGAGGATGGAACCTGTATTTGCAAATAGTAATATATTTAAAAAAAATCTAAATGAGATAAAAAAAAGAGGGAGAGAAGCCTCACTGTGGTTTCTGTCACACACAGTGACAGGCTTTGCTCTGTGTCAGAATGAATGAGACCTTCTTAACGGGTTGAGAGCAGAGCTTCAGTGAGGCGCTTTTATCTGCCTTCGTGTATGGCGCTGAAATTGATCTGATGGCATATAGGTCTAATGGAAGCATATATCGTAATACAGACTTGCATTATCCATATGTCTGAGTGTATGAGTTGGGACAAACTGTTTTTATTGCTTCGAAATTTTATTTGTGGTTTATAGTGTGGGAAATATAGGCAAACTGCAGTTTTGAATATGTTAAAATGACATTCAGTATAGAGACTTACAAAATTGCATAAAAAACAGGTAAATTCTGAATTTCCAGGTAGATTAAAAAGCATGAGATTTGCTTTTTCTTTTAATAAGATTTAGGGCATGAAATACCTTACACTTCAATGTTCACTACATACTGCTTTAGTATAATATAAATACATGTATGTGTAATCTAAATGCATGTGTGTGCGTGTATGTATATACACACACGCACACACGTGTGTATAAATGTGGTATAGGCGTAATGTAATTGAAGATTGTGGATGCAGAAAACCTTTTTTTATTGGTTCCTATACTTCTGGAAAAACTAGTTATTAATCTTTAATGTCATTAATGTGGCATAACTGTATTGAGGGGACTGAGCAAACATTTGTGTTAATTGAAATGAGTGCCATGGAATTACACAGGAGGGAGGAAGAGGGGAAATTGTCAATATAGTTAAAGCTTGATCTGTAAAGCCAGAATAAAAGAGGGTTCTAGCACACAGATGATGCACAGGGGAGGAGCCAAGGCTCTGTTGTAGTCAGGGCTTCCTGGCTGCTCTGGGGATCTGAAAAGCATCTTGTGCTCTGGTGGAACCTTCTGAGGAAACAGCCTTTTCCCTAGCCTTCCCAAAAGGTCTTGTGCTCACCTTTGCAGAGTCCTATGCTGAAATCTTTGTAATTGCTAGGCAGGACTAGCAATTTAATGTTTTAAGGCATGACTGCAGTCCTTTTTTATTGTTCTGTTTATGTATTTATTTTGTTTGCAGTTGTCCATGCTACTGTTTCTGATTCTAAAGTTTGCCTCTCAATTTTTAAGTCCAGAAATCAAATGAAAATTCCAGAAAGTGTTGTTGAAGATTTTGTAGGATGCTATGACTGCTCTAATAACCCTTCAGGAGTTGTTATAGTTTTGAAGGTGTTTTCCTGTTTTTAATCCACAGTAGGCTTTATTTTGTAAAGAGGGTTTTATGTCATGTATTGCTGGAAGCACTGTGATCATCTCTGCATCGTGAATGCTGTCTAGATAGAGGCTCAGTTGAATGATGCATTGTTGCAAGTGACTTAAGTATGTGAGAAAGCAATATATTCTGCATTTTCTCCCATATAAAATTATGGTGTTTAATATTTTCCCATTTAACCAGTCATCATAACTGCAGCAACTGTGATTGCATGATTTTATTTTTTTTGCCCCCAAGTACTCAAATTGCCAAACATGAAGCTATTGCCTTTCCCCCATAAGTATGCTGTAGTATGTACATTAGGCAGTTAATAAAACATCTCTGTAGAAACACAAAATTTTCCAATTTTGGGCAAACTTCCTTTGAATATGAGGGGTTTTTTTCTTTTTTCTTTTTCTTTTTTTCCTCCCCTCAGCATGTATGTTGCTTGAATGAACTCTTTTTTTTGAATAGTGGCTCAAACTTGAATTGCAATTCTTCATTTTCATTAAGGATTGGTAAAACTCACAAAAATGAAATTGGAGGTGAATTTCCTCAGTTTGAGAATTTGAAATAAGATTTTAAGTTCCTAACTTTATTCTAGAAAATTAATAATTACTGATTACATTTTGAGCTCATGACATTACCTGATCATTATCCTAACTTTTCTTTTAGGGAGGCTTTTATATAATGACACAATATTGCAGGTAGTTTTGCCCTGTTCTTCAGGATCAACCTACCCCCAGCTTTACGTTAGCCATAAAAAATGTAGAAAAATATTATTTTAATCAACTGATGAGAGTAGAATTGTTGTTTGGCGGCCTATTTAAAAACAGACAAATAGAGACTTTGTTAATGCCAATGTATAAGGTTTGAATTATTAATTACTATCCTGTTGAGCTGCAAAACTATGGGGGAAAGTATTCTTGCATTGTAAAACACTTCTGCTTTTATTACATTGTGTTGAGTATATGAAGACATACGATTATAGAGCACTTAGTAAGCCTGAAGGACATTTGGCCTCATGTAACTGCTTTGCTTGAATTCTGAGGAGACTTTCAATTCACTGCATGTTTTTTTGGAGATGGGGGGGGTGCACTGAACAGTGTTTTTAAGCAGTCATTTGATGTTTGTTTTTAATCATAACAGGAATTTCCATTTTTTACCTTGACGGCCTTTCCACCAGGCTTCCTCGTCCATGTTGGTGGTGTTGTCAGTGCACGTTCGGTGAAGCTCTTGGATCGCATTCACAATCCCGGTACGTTAACACAATACATTTTTCCCAAGTCAAGATCTATCACAATGTTCCTGTATTTCTAGACTTTGAAATATTCTATCTACTAAAATGCTTATACATTATAAAAATCTCTACCAACAGTATTTGCTGAAGGTAATATTTTTCATACAGGCATTTCAGCTTGAAAAATATTAGCATTTCAGAGAGTATGTTTTTAGTGAGAATTTTCTAGTAAATTAATGAGAAAAAAATTAATTCTAATAACTTTGCACCAATTTTTTTTGAATTATCAAGAGGCTGATTATTTTTGACCACTGCTTAATATTAAAATTTGATGCTAAAACATGAGTATGTTGAAGAAATTGGTCTAACTAGACATGTTTTCTAATTTTATCTCCTTATAATCCTTCAGGACTAATCAGCACAGTTTAGCTCAATATGTGTTTTTAACTTCATTTAAGAGAAAAAGAAAAAAAAACACTTTACAACTCTTTTTTTCTGTTTTTATTAAATAATATGTACAGAACACTGCTTAAAGTATTTTTTGTTCTAATATTTACCTGGAAACTGCAGTACTGAAAAATACATGTTCTGCATGTCCTAGTTCTGATATCAGAATTAAATCATTTTGTCTCTGAATTTTGTTACATTTACTGGAACGAGTGATGAGGGTTATTTTTTTAAAAAAGTTGGAGTTAATTAGTGGTCTCAGAACATGGCCAGGTGAAACAAAATAGTAGTACCTGTACTGATTTTGCACGTACTTGCCAGGAGTAATAAAGCTTGTGCAAAGGCATTTAGAAAACTGTTACTTCAAATTTTTCCATTTTATTTCTTTTTTCTGCAAGCAGTTCTGCAAACAGTTAAATTGTTGCTGGTTGGAGGAATCAATAAACTGCCAGAGAAATTGGAATAAAATCTTAGACTTAAGAAAACTACTTTAAGGGATTTTTAAAACACCCAAATGCACAGTATTTTTTTTTCCTGCTTCTTAACTTTTACTCTGAACCTTGCAGTGGAGAAAAGGTTAAGAGAAATCTCCAAATGTATTTTGGATGTGTCCCCACCCTGTTTCTTTCCTACAAAGTCCTCTTAAGCTTTTTGTATTTTGGCATGAAGCTGATACAGGTAACTTCTGTATTATGTACTAAGTTTATGGTATTATACATTTATTTAAGAAAAAAACAAAAAGATATCGGTTATGCTCAGAATGTTGCCAGAATAGTTTCATGCTTTATGCACTCTTATTTTCACCAATTGACTGTAGAGATGCATATGTGTATTTGCTTTGCAGCACTTCTGAATTTTTAGATTGCTCCTGACAAGTGAGTGTAAGATGCATGATACTTCAATCTCAGTATATTGCAAAACAGTAACAAAACGACAAAAAAGGGAGAATGGAGGGTCATGGTTAGGAGTTGGAAGGGGAAGTAGTAGAAAGACTTTCTGATATACCATTATCTTTTAAGCAGTTGAGTCAAGTCTGTAAAATATAAAAGGAGATGTTAACTGGCAAGTAAATGGATCTGAAAATATAGAGAAGGAAAGAATAGTTTAAGGAGCTGTTTGAACACCAATGAATAATACAATAATTGCTCTGTAGTGTACACCTTGATCACGCCTAGTGCTAGTTTGCTATAGCATGCTCCTTTTTCCCTTTCTATTTCAGCCTCTTATTAACTCTGCTGTCTGTGTCTTTCCAGTTCCTGTGGAGTGGTGTTGTCAATTGTGTTCTTGTTGGTAGTTTTTTTTTTTTTTTTCCACTATTCTGCTCCTATAACTGATCTACTAATTTGCTGTTTTGAACTCAGCCTTTGTCGGAATTATGGGTAACACAAGATCATACAAACTGCTAGACTGGAATAGTTTCAATTCAGGTATTTTACTAGTCATTCAGTACTACATATGCTGACAGAAATTATGGCAGCTCAGTGAAGTTCTTAGCAATGCTGTAGAACGTTTATTAGATTAATACTTCAAATTAAAATCTGTTTAATCAACAAATAACTCAGTGTCTTATTTGCTTTAGTGTTTTCAAAGGTTTCCTTTAAAATTGTGAAACATTGTTTGAGTATAAAATAGCATTGTTAATAATTTAATATCAATCTGAAAAGTCAAATATTCAGGTGATAATTTCTTGGGAGCCTTCAGCTCAGTGTCCGCAAAACGTAACATAGGGGAAGATAACAGATTGTTGTTTATACAAGCAGGCTGGTGTCAGGTGTGTTTTTCATGAGCTTACACTTCAGGTACAGCTGTACTTCTGATGGCTTGAGGAAAATGATCAATGTATTTATTCAAAAGGACATAAAGATTGACCGAAAGACCAAAAATTAGATGCTAAAGTGGTGTATCTTATCCAGGGTGTCTTGTTTCATAAATCTTGTGTTGTAAAATGCATTAGCTTGCGGGACTTCGGTGTTATTATTGGAACTTCTAAAGTCCTCTAAAACCTAACTCAAAAAAGTCCAATGTTCTGTTTTTAACAAAACTTAGTGACCAAAGCATGTGATTTCTGTGTACAGTTGTGGAGAGAATGGAAGAGCTGATGATAGAGTCTGTATAAAATACTGACCTTTTCAGAGGGAATGAGAAGGAAAAGAAGGCCTTCCTCTCCCTTTTGAAACATTAGATGCCTTGGAAGAAGCAAAGATTTAGCTTCTTTACATTGAATATGCAAGCCAGCAGAACTTGCCAACCAGTGATACTTTTCTAAAAGTGAGCTCTAGAGGTTTGTTTCCTCCAGAAACAAAATACCCTTCCTGTTCCTTCACTGCTGCAGTGCGCTTTGTGTACAATTTGTCTCTGGAAGTTGAACAGTCATTCTCTAAACTTCAATTTATCTATACATTTTTCATTTTACAAATAGTTCAGTCACAGGTAGTAGCTGAAACCATTGGCTCATTTTTGTCTATACTCTTGGCATTACAGTTTTGAGACTATGCTTTTGTGGATTTGATTTGCGTTTTTCAATTATAGTCATCTTTTAAATTTGTTTTTACTTTCCATATAATAATAGCATTATGCAATGCTCAGAGTACTGGTGTAGCATAGACCGTTTCAAGATGTTAAATGAAGAATTCTTGGTACATCTTGTATGGTACTTTCAAAAGTTTGACGTAATTGTTGCTTTTTTGAGCTCCTGTTTAGGAAGATGTAACCATGGAAGAATTTAATTAGAATAATTGAGTAACTGAATTACCTACAGACATCAAGCATATATTGAGCTAGGATGGAAAGTGATTGAGAAATGTAAGTCATAGACAGCTAAGGAGAAATTGTGAATTCATTCCTTGACAGAAGAGATAAGAAGGAAGAAGAATCCATATCTATATTGCGTGCAGTTATACTCGCAAGTGATTGTTATATAGACCTGGAGTATAAAGGCCTAAAATACTTATTTTAGAGTTAATGCTCTTTCAATGCCTGTATATGTTTCTCTTGCGTTTTGTAGAAAATACTGCTGCTGCCTCCACATATCAGGAACTTTCTAGTAACAGCTTTGCTATTTATGCTGTTGGGCAGGGCTAAGTAGGTTTGCTTATATGTGTGGAAGTATATTGCTTTTGCAGTCCTAGGTGTGTTGTTATATCAAGAATATAAAGAAGGTATATAAAGTCACTATATATGAGCTGTTGTGGATTGTGGTGAAGTGTCTTAAGATGCATCAGGACCATCTGAGGGTGGACCCTTACCTTTTATGATTTATTAGAACCAAGGTTTGTCAGTAGTGTTTTACTCTTTTTCAGCAGACATCCCGGAAGACTGAATATTCCCTTTCTGTGTACATGTTTATGTAACTGGGCAAATGTTGGTTATTGCTAGTGTAGCACAGAATGTTGATAAATTTCCTTTGGAATTCATAAATTAATAAATTTGGCATTTAAAGTCTTTGCCTAATAATAAGTGATTCTATTTAATCATGTTTGTTGACTGAAAGATCTCCCTCAAGTTCGACAAATGGTGTGAGAACCATCATAGACTTTTCACTGAACAAAAGCTTTAATAAAGCTGTTGTTTATTCCACCACTGCAATCTATATGTAAATAATAAGAGAAAGAACTTTGGTCCTGTGGAAGATTGTTATTCTTGCATGTTACTTCCCCTAATTTCAAAATGTGGAGTTCTACTAAAACCATTTTATTGATAGAATTTCCCTCATCGATTTCAATAAATCTGGGTCAGCTTTACAATCCGCCACTTGGACGTATAGAGGTAGCAGTTTTGGTGTGGCCTAAAGTTTATGGTTGTGTTTAGAAGAGAAATAGAATGATTCCAGTTGAAGGCATACATCCCCAGTGTTACAGAAGTATGGGTGAACATGTAGTTGTAAAATATGTGCTGATGGTATTTTAGAAAACTAGAATTTAAGTGGCAGATAATACAAGCTCTAATTGACCTTAATAGTATTGCAGAATGAGCTTTAATGGCTAAGATCCATTATCTGAGTTGAATTAAGCACAACAGATTTTCCTTCTGTGTTAAGTCTCTCTGCACTATTTTTGTTTCACCTGCTTTTTTCTTGATCAGATTGTTATACAATGTAAGCATATTCTCATTCAGCATATATGAAGTTATTTAAATACCCCATGTTTCCCATCAAGAAACACTGTAGCTAAACTAACAAAAATTGTGTGATTCGCTTTGTTGGTGTGATTGTACTAGACAATGCAGCTTCTTTAACATTTTGCTGTAATATTTTTTCAGTGCTTTTTTTTAAAGGATTTGAGTTCTTTTTTTTTTTTTTTTTTATCATAATATACTCTCACCGAGGCCCTTAACTCACTCCAAAGGGACCTGAGGAAAGGGTTCTGGTTAATTAGTTATTGCATGTGGGTGTTCAGAGAGGATTCTCTGTCTCATTTGTCGTAAAATAGAGCATTGTGACTGTGTGGAAATACGGATGTAGAGACTCTGCGAGTGTAACAGATAAAAGCCTAAGTGGCACAAAACTGAGTAGGAGGTGCAGAGGCAGTATAAATTCCTGCTAGACAACTAAATGTCATTGTCCTACAAAGTGAGGTGGCTTGCCCCATTCCTGCCGACTGGTGCGCAGAGTATCTTGTCTATGAACACCCGTGTTCTTAGACAATGCAGATGAATCCTTTTTTGTTTGAAATTCTGTGCGTTTCTTCCAAGAATTATGTTAGACCTGGGCTTGTTGTGGCCTGTTTTAAGGTGCCCAGTTAATTGGGTTTAATGTTTTAAAATGTATGTATAATTAATTTTGTTATGCTAATTTCAAGATAAATGCACTTTATAATGTTTAGAAGACAGTGTCTTGTCACAGGATAGTATCTCCAGCTGTTGATAGTAAGTTGCACCTTCATTGCTGTGCTTTAAAAATGCCTTTTGAAGATTGCTTATTTTTTAAAATTAATTTATGTATTGTGCCTAGACAATAGAGCAACAGATGCAAGATAGAATAGGTAGTTTCTGTGTTATCTGCCAGCTCTCCAAAGCAGGAGACATTGCCCTTGATACTGTAATTGGATCCATGAAAGCAGATTCCTGTATCTTCTTTGTGTCCCATCCGTTTTAGTGTTAGAGGAGCGGTATGCAGATTTATGAGGACTTCATCATTGTTAGATGAACGTCCAATTTAAATAATAACTAAAAAGATTGCAAAGTGTATTTAAGTCTGATACCTGTCGTGTTATCTGCCAAATTAATTTGTGGTGTTTAAAGTTTGTTTATGTCCAGGCAGTGTTTTTGAACCAGTTTAACCAGTGTCAGTTTATGGAAAACTACTCCCTTCAAGATGACTTGTAATCAAATATTGAGTGACTTCTGCTCATTCTTATGATCAAACAGGTATGCGACTTTTAATGTGCGACTTAATATAAAAACTGTAGAGTAATGGACGTTGGCTTTTTTTTCAGTAGTTACTTTCATCTGGGATGTTCTGTTCAGATTTACAGTGTGTCATTAGTTTTGGTTACAAGTGTAATGTCACATGGTTAAGGATATCAATTACCTTGTGCTTTGTGCTGTAAGGCTTAGAAAAGGCTAGTTCATAAGGGTCTGAGCATATAAACTGTTCAAGTAGTATTAAGTTGAGATTAGGAACAAGTGCCCTGGGATATCTCAAGGCTTGGGGCCCTCGAGAGTATAAGACTGATAGGACTGAGTGAGTTGACAGTAATTGGAAGTTGAGGAAGGAAAGCCAGACTTTGAATTAGAAGTTACAGTTCTCGTTTAGGGATGAGATAATTAAAACATATCCTGATATATTATAGAACGTATTGGCTCTACTGATGGGAGAGGTACTGAGAGAAATACTCACTTTTTCCCAATTTTGAGAATTATTTTCATATTAAAGCTAGCTAGAATTGTCTTCATATCTTCACTCCTCCATAGTGAGCTGCCACTAAAAAGTGATCCTGCTCTTCTATCACGTGTCTTGCAGCTCTCTGGTGACCGTGTAGTTGCAGAGTGAGTCACTTTGCCTGGCTGACTCAATAAAAAAATGGCCCCTGCAAATGAATGGTTTTGTGTTGAATCAGTCAACTGAAGTAACTCATCTTGAAAAAGCATGAAGGCTGCATACGTTTTTAATCCTAGATGTTCTTAATGCTGTTTCTTCATTCACTAAAGAACTTGGTTTTTAGTATAAAAAATCTTTCTTACTGCTTAGCTTGTTCGGCAGTCAGGGTTGGAAAAATGAGATGTTTTCTGACCTCATCTTATGTGACAGAAGAGCAGTGACAAAATACCTTCTCTAGACTGGATGTTTTATCTGTAGTTTAAGGTTTGTGGGAATGAGCATTCCTCTTTGCTGTTATGTTTGCAATGCTTTTTTAGTATTTTAGGACATGTTAGATCATTTGGATTTATCAAGTTAAAACTACTTCCTTCAGTTTCCCTATCATCGTAA